AACGCTCCGGATGGGAAACGGATAAGAAGAAATCGTTGAATCTTTGTCGACTTCGATCGTACGCGAACGCAAGTAATCCCGATTCGAGCGAGAATTGGAATAATCGAGACACTTCGGACTGAATGCGGATCGCGGGAAATAGCAGCTCGGTTAATCGAGTGCTCGGCGCTGTTCGCGCGGAACGAGGAGCAACCGTGGTGAAAACGCTTAGACGAATACAACGTTTATCGTTCCGCATCGGCGGAGTATCGCGGGATTGTACATGCAAGCCTCGAGGCGGAAAAAATTGCACACTGGTGAATTCGCAGACTCGCGAGACGAACGCGAATAATGCGTGTCCAGTCTCCTTTTCGTGTCAGCCGGTCGATCCGGCTCGACGGCGCGCCGCAAATCTCGCTCACCGTAATATCCTGTCCATCAGCAGGAGAAGGCTGAATAAAATCGCCCTTCCGTTCGCGTTGCCGGTTCCGCCGTGCTGCATCGCCGCGGGACGTTCACCTGAAAAGAAACACCGTTGGATTTGTCGCGAGATTCGCGAGATTCGCGAGATTCGCGCCGATTCGCGTCGGGCTCGTTGATCGGTAAAGTGCAACGAGACGACCAGTGTGACGCGTCAACTATTCTATCTCGCCTTTTGCTTATCGCCCAACCTTCTGTTCCCTCGATCGCGACGAACGCGCGATGCCAATCAGGATACAACGAGGTAATAAACCCATCGAGGAACTTAATGACTGAACGGAGCCCGTCGGACCGTTCGGTGGTTCAAAGATTCTCAGAATCGAGAATAAACGGGAAGAAATTGAAAGAGGAGGAGTGTAATTTCAAAGGAGTCGTGTTCCGTTCGGTTCGCTACCTCGTTCTATCGTTGCCTTCTTTTATGTACGATACGCGCGCGCGTGTGTGTGTGTGTGCTGCGACCGGCTTCGCAAGAACGTATTCTCACCGTTTAACACGTGGATCAACACGCTCGCCGGGGCAACTTTGTTCGAAACGCAGGTGTAATTGCCGCTGTCGTCGATCAGAGCGCGCGTTATCAGCAGCTTGCTGGTGGTACCGTTTTTACCCTTCTCTGTTTCCAGAGAAACGCCACCCCTGTCGAAAGTAACGTGAACGCATTATACGGGTGGAAGAATTTTCGAAGAAACAGCACACCGCGAATGAAGAGAAATGGGAACGCACCTTGGATCGTCGAAATCGATCGGCACACCGGCACGATACCACGTCACGTTGCTCGGAGGAATGTCTTGCGTGTCGACGATGCAAGTTAAACCGATCGTGCTACCCGTCTTCACGTACACTTCCCGAGGACCCGTGATCTTTGCTCGCACGTCTAACGAGAAACAGAGGAAAGATTCGATTGTTCGACGGCCGTGACGATCAGCATTCGGAATTCTGAAACTCACCCAATACTCTCAACGTAACGGCCCCGTATATTTTCGGCTCCGTGTTCACTTGACACTCGTAAATGCCAGTGTCGCGCGGTTGCACGTAATCTATTCGCAGGTTCCACTCGTCGTTCGCCGGATCGCGGACTATCGTGAATCTTGCGTCGCTCGTGTATGTCTCGGACATGGACGTTAATATGTGCAGATCCCTTTTCCGGATCCAAGACACCTGCGAGAAATTCCGACCGCTTATACGCGGCTAGAGGTGTGTACGTTACGCGATATACTAATATAATATATCGGATGTACCGACGACGACAGACTGAAACGAGTATGCGCGGAAAAATCGGAACGAAACGATTGCATTGGAAGATCGCCGAGAAAAACTCGAAAATCTTTTCGAAACTCACAGTTCTGTTCCCCAGATTCTTGACACGACACAACAGCAGGACAGTCTCTCCTATAACGGCGGTCACTTTTTGCCCGGGATCTTTGTAAAAATAAGTCTTCCTCGTTCCTCGATGCGTTTGCCGTTGCGTTCTGTCGGTCTCGTCTCCGAGTCGTCGCGCCGCTAAAATTCAACCGGGTTTATCACTTTTCCGTTTCTCCTCGCTCTCGAGTGGAACGTTTCTCTTTACTTGGAACGAATCGGATAGGCGCGTTACGTACGTAAACAGGTATACAGTGAAATACCTCGGATAACGCTCGAGACATGTTCTTAGGCGACAAACCCCGTTGAACGAAACATCGTTAAACGAGGTCGTCTTGGCGCACTGTAAATACGAATAAAGAGACACACGAATGAGAATGGAGAAGGTTCTCCGTTCGATTGAAAGTGAATTTTATATTATTGTTTACATCGAATCGACCGAATCGACCGAATCGACCGAATCGACGGTCGGTTAATTGGGCTAGCGTGAAACGAGATTTTCCTGCAGATAGATATATTTTTCTTTCTATTCGTTTCCTCGCCCGCTACTCTCCCTCCGAAGGAGATCAAAGGAGATCAAGGAGTGGAACCAATCGACCGGTTAACGAAAAGATCTGAAAATTGCCTGCTCGCTTGCAATTCGCAAGACGCGAATCACTCGACGCGATTCTACCTTGGTTCGGATGGTCGAAGGCCGGTTCGACGCGTAACAGGTATCCGATTCCGAGCAACACGAGAGCCATACCGTGGAACGGTGCCATCTTTCACCTACGAAATCTTTTCATTTTTCGACGTATCGTCGACGCGTCGTCGAGGTTCTCCGTCCGTCAAGAAATTCCAGCGACTATTCAAAATAGATCGGTAACTCCGACTCGATCTTCCTCGATCAACGAACACCGTTCCACGCTCTCCATTTCCCATGAGATACCCTCGCCAGCTGTGCGTTCCCGGAAACTAATCATTTTTAGGAGCGAAACGTGGAATCGAGGATATTTCAATCGATTCTTCTTCTTTTGCAAAAGAACGCATCGTTCGACTCGTCCCGGGATTGAACAGCCGACGCGTCATTCTCGATAAAGGAAGAGAACGAAAGGAAAAAGAAAAACCGACAGTTTCGATGAGAGGACAATAGAGGAAGCGCGCGTTCATCGAGTTTCTCGCGATGCTCCGACGAGACGTTCGAGATACGGTCGGCGGAAGAACTCGGAGAACGATGCGCTTCGGTAGCGTTCCAAACACTGAAACACGTTCTGCCCCTGTCCGAGAGCAATTGGAAAACCAGCAATGAGAGCGCGCTGGCGCCTGGCGCCTGGCGCCTTGCGACGAGTGCGGGAATTATAACGCGACCCCAACGATTCATCCTTTTTCCAGTCGTCCCAAACAATCGTTCCGATGCTAGACTTCTATCGCGATGGACGATGCGCGGATATGCGTGGATTTCTACTTCGCTTCAGTTGGTAAATAACTCGACGCGTTTACAGACAATATATTATATTACGCTTTCAACAGGAGTACAAAATGTATACATGTCTATAACTTGTGCACCGTATGTCCTACTTGTATTACCCTGGAAGAATAAAGTTTAGTCTCCGCTATGGAATCACCGACAAAATTAACCTTATAATTGTGTCGATCAGTGTATAAAATACAGAATAGAAAATACAACTTACAAAGTACAAAATAACCGACGAAAAGTACACTATACAAAATGCAGAATACCAAGATGCAAAATGCAAAATCTATTAGCATCGAATCCATGAACAAACGAGTAATGTACTTACATTGAGTACATTGTAGGATTCAAATTTATCACCTGTCAATTCACAGGTGTTCCAGTAAAGATATTTTCTCTTGTATTTGCATTTTGTATCCTGTATCTTACACCGTACATTGGGATCGAGCTCAATAAACTTACAACGAAGATCTCTTTTTAATCGTGAACGTTATAAAAATTTATACTACGCGCTTACGAAGGCCTAACGTTGTTGAATAGCACCGTATCGAACATATTCAATGTCACAAGATTCCTTGAATGTTCTACAGCTTGAGAAATATGTTAGCACCACCACCACCGTCTAGCTGATTTCATCTCTAATGAAATCACCCTTTGTACCACCAGTTTTTGAAACTAACTCTATATCGGTTATCTTCATCGACGTCGGAGAAGCTGCATACTTACACATGTCGTAAATGGTCAATGCCGCGATACTCACGGCCGTTAAAGCTTCCATTTCCACGCCAGTCTTCCCAGTGCATCGAACTTCGGCCGTTATTTCTACTCGATTCAGTTCTTCGTTCAAATGTAACCGCACATCTGCGTAAGACAACGACAGCGGATGGCACAGCGGTATTAAGTCGGGCGTGCGCTTCGCACCCATGATACCGGCCAATTGTGCCACGGACAGCACGTCCCCTTTCTTCACATTGTTCTCTGCTATTAATTTGCTGATCGTCGAATCGACCTGTACGATTCCTCTTGCTGTCGCGACACGTTTACTCTCGGATTTCGGACCGACGTCCACCATACTCGCTCTGCCGTGCTTATCCACGTGCGACAGCGAACGATACATCCTTATATTCGTATTCGAATTCGTACACGGATACAGAAATTTGTACGAACACAGAGACGTATGCGTTAAATGTTTGGAGAAAATATTGTATTCTTGTCTGTCTTTAAAACTGCTCGCGTGTATGCGATTCTTCTTAACTGTAAGTGCAAACGATCGATATTATATCTTGAATTTCACTAAAATGAAGATACTTCGAAATGTTAATTACATGTTAAATAGAGCGATAACGTTTGTACGCATACTTTTGGAAAAAGAACAATTGCCAACTAGCATGGAAAATTTCCAAAATAACATTCGATCACCCCCCGATAAGGATCATCGGCCTGTTCTCCATCTGGGATAGATTGAACATTCCTGAAACACACACATTATAGGAAACATAGAAACGTTATCGCTTCGTAGAAAGTTTTTTCGTGTTCTACAAGAAGAAATAATCTGTTACGATCCGTTATCGAGGATCAACGATCAGACGTACCAGCGTGCTGCTTCTTCTTACGTCGCACCGCGATACCGATCATTTCCTTCAAACTCTCGTCGGAAGCTCCGTTACGTAAAGCATCTCGAAGAGAGACTTCGCCTTTTCCTTCGAATAAGCAAACTTTCAAATTTCCATCCGCCGTTATCCTCAATCGATTGCACGAAGCGCAAAAATGATTGCTCATCGACGTGATAAATCCGACCTGTCCCACGAATCCGGGAACTTGGTACGCCTATTTAAAGCAATATACCTTTCAGTGTCATGCGAATAAAATGATCAAATTAAATATGATTTTCATCGTTACACACTTTAGACGTATCGTTATAATCATTTGGAAGACGTTGTAAATCAGGATATACATCCCTAATTATTCTTTTCATAGTATCGAAAGATACCATTCTATTTTCGTTCCATTTATTCCCTTGGAAAGGCATGTATTCGATGAACCGGACATCAATCGGTCTATCTTTTGTTAGATTCACGAAATCGACTAATTCATCGTCGTTGAAACCATTCATCATCACACAGTTCACCTAGAAAATGTGAAATATACATACATCTCAAATTCGTCTAGTTGCAGATCATTTGTTAGAATACATCTTTCTTTCCTCGCCTTTACAGGATTATAACCCAATTGAACAGCCAAATCTATTGCAGCCATCACTCTGGGCCAACCTTTCCTACGGGTAAATTGCTCGAAACGGTCTTCTTTTAACGTATCCAGAGAAATATTTATCGCGTCTAGACCCGCTCGCTGGAGAGACGGTAACTGGCGTGTTAAAGTTAAGCCATTAGTAGTGAGCGCAACTTGCTTCAAACCAGGCAATTGTTTCAACCCAGCTGTAATAATTATTTTCATTGTATCAAAACGTTTAATACCCGATAGATGTTACTAATAGAAATCATATTATTTACCAATAATATCAACAATGTCTTTCCTTACTGTTGGCTCACCGCCTGTTAAACGTATTTTACGTACACCTTCTTTCACAAATAAATCAGCTATTTTAATTATTTCCTCTGTTTTTAAAATACCATCACCCTTTGTCAGTGTAACTCCCTCTGCTGGCATGCAGTATAAACCTGTATGAAATGTAATAGTTCCTTCGGTTACTTGATCAAAACTTAGAATTTTTATTCTAATAATTCTTACATCGAAGATTACATCTTTCTGTAACAGAAATGCGTAAATAGGTATGGTGTCGTCCAAAAGAATCTGTAAGCATATCATTGTTTTTGCTTTTATCTAGCAACTCCTTGAATTTCTGCACCTGTAAGCAAAAGTATATTGAGGTCATTCAAAGTGCAAACATAAATAAAGATTTCTTTTATTAGATCTATGATATTAATGGAACATGTATGCTAGCCTCTTATACAACTATACCCTGTTCAATGAGTTGGGTCGATAGCTCGAAGACAAACGATCACTGCTCGGATGGAATACACGTTGAATTCACATTCTTTGAATAACTTGATATAAGAAATAACCTGATGGTTTGTTTATATGCGGTGATAAATCTTGTTCAACAGACTTTAATATTACACATAATATTTGCATTGTATTTACAGTTTCTTGTTTTTGTGACTGTAAATTACGACAATATATACGTATATATTACTCTTATAGCTTAACAGTTTCTATTTCTTTGAAATAACAAATTTTATCTATTATTTACTATAACAAATAATTAAAATAAATATTTATGATATAAAATAAAAAGTAAGATATATACTTACCCTAGATGATGCATTTGGTGCAACGAATACATCCGTGGACGAATGCGCGCCACGAAAGATTATTTTAATAATATTAATCGTACGAAACATTTAAGTTGTGTATTTCAAGTTATTGGCATTAGAACAAAATGTAACCTCTACGTTTCATAGGAAACAGAAGCAGTTTCACGTAAATCTCTATAAGAAAAAAAGTATGTAATTTCTCTTCGAGATATATGCAATTTTTTTGTTACTTATCTATGTGGTGGCTTTATTAGAATTGAATTGTGCGTCGCAACAACTATCCATATACTCTCAGGCAATTAAGATAATCATTCTTTTACGTCCTTGAGCTTGACAAAACGTATCATCAAGATAATTTGTATCATTTCAAGAATATGACTCAAATCTACACTTTGTTGCCGCTATTTCGATTCAACCAATCATCATGCATATCATTTCTATTACATGGCATAGGTTTCCCGCTATATTAAATACTACGATTTGTTCAGCTCAAGATTAAATCGGAGTATAATAATAATGTTTGAGCACGTTTAACACGTTTGTTTTCTCACCGTGACGAATCTCACATTTATCAATTTGAGAAAAATGCGAAACGAAAATGACTATTTATCTCAATTTTCAAAGATCCCCATCTTTCAGTGCATATTGTTACATTACACTACGTTCCTGAGAAGGTCACGTGACCTTGTTGTGTATTACGTTAACCTTAAATGAAATAGGCAATGCGTATGACGTTTGAAGTTTGTTAACAATGTTCATTTTGGGAGTACACGTTTATATAATTTGTACAGAAAAAGAAATACCATTTCTTTATAATTATTAGATGTATAAACTTTCAAAAACATGTCTTTATTTCCTGCTTATTCCGTTCAAACGGATGAATCTTCAACATCCAATAAACATCCAGAAAATCTTGCAGGTTTTTAAAATACATTCCCGAAATTCATTATTACTTATGACTTTGCTTTTATTACAATGGAATTCTTTTAAAATTATAGGGGACCTTTCGAGCAGTTGGTTACACAATTGTAGTTTTTTAGATCAGATTTCATCCCATAATTTTATCAATTGTTCTTCAGAGTCTTCGGATGAAATCAAAAGTGAAGTTCCTTGTTTAGAAAAACAACAGACACCGTGCAATGTTACTTCGCCAAATAAAGATAGTCCAGTACATAAAGAAAGAAAAAATCATAAACATATAAAAAAGAGGAAAAAAGAAAAAAGAAAATATGCTACAACAGGAAAACCAAATTATAAACAAGAAGTGGAAAATGTATATTTTGAAGACAAATACAGGGATAAGGGAAATAATACAGTTAAAACCCTCTGTTCTAGAGTAAGACCCTATTATAATATTCAGAAGAATACCCTTGGTTTCGCATTATATAGACAACCAAAAAAAGCTGTTTACGAGAGGTACTATATCAATAATATAGATCTCATAGAAAAGAATAAGAGGAAAAATAGTATTATTACAAAGGAATCTACTACCAATTCAATTCAAGAAGTTGACTGTACTTCTCCGTGGAGCATTAACTTTGAAGAATTCCAAAAAAATAAAACTAAAGAATATAATGAGAAACTAACAAGTAATCCAAATGATATTAAACTGTGGATTGAATATATTCAATTTCAGGTAGGTTTTCACTTCTTTGTTTACATTATTATTTGTTATGAATGTCTATTACACAAATATCATTTCTCAGGACACATTGGAATATCTTCAAAAATATGAAACAATAAAAGATGTTCATAGAGCAACTGCATTGAAGAAACTTTCTATAGTTCAAAAAGCTATAGAAGAAAATGTGGAATCTACACTGTTATTAAAATTAAAATTATCTTTAATGGAAGAGCTGTTGCCAGCTGATGAGTTTTCAAAACAACTTGAAACATTAGTAAACAAAGACTCGGGAAACATTGTTTTATGGCAAGAATTCATTATGGCTACACAAGCTTCTGTATCAATGTGTACTGTACCAAAAGTGTTGGATCTATATTCAAAATGTTTTTCTGTTTTAAAACAGAAAGCTAGAATAAATCCTCGAATGTATGACGAGCGATTATTAAGTATGTAACAAGCTACAATTTGTTTCAAATTTTCTATTGAATCTAATTAGATGTTTAACTTTACTTATGGAAAACAGGAATGTTGTGTTGGTGTTTAACACTTTTGCGACACACTGGACTTTGGGAACAAATGTGGGAAACAATACGTTTGAATCTTAGTTTGAATCTTAATTTAAATATGGACAACTTATCTGTCCAAAAAACAATAGATGAGAAAAAATTAAGTATGAATTATTGAAATTCAACAACATCTAAGAAAATATCACCTTTGTTCATTTTAATCACTAATTTTTTCACCGATTTATAGTTGGACTGGAGGAAGTAATACTAATGTCGAGATTACCGCTCAACCAACTGTGGCAGAGAATAGAATCGTTAAGAGAAAATTGTCATTGGATTAGCGTCAGCAGAGACGAATTGGAGTTAACCGGTGATTCTCGAAGATTCGTCTTGCCAGATGATGTCGCTGATTTTGTACATCCTATACTTTCAGAAAACTTGAATTTTCAAATGGCAATACATGCGCTTCTTACACTTAAAGTGCCACTTCTACCTACTAGAGACTATACCTTACAGGTATATATAAACTCATGTTAAACTCGTGAAGATACTCTCTGTATCGTATAAAAAAAAATCATATTACATTTCCTTATTGTTCATTACATTTTCAGATGTTGAACTTAAACGATTTTAAATGGGGCATAGAAACTTCAGAAATATTACTTCCTTTTGCTTATCCTGTAGCAGGCGAAATGACTGGGGATAGCCAAAGAAAGGAATTACTGATTGGTATACTTGAAGGGAGATTAACATCAGGTCCTCAATACCTTATGTTTCATCCTGCACAAGAATCATATTTGGATTTTATACGAGAAACATTTTCTACAATCGCCGAAAATTTCCCACCTATGCAACGTACAAGCATGTATATTTGGTGGTTAAGATTTGAAAGATTGCTCATTTTTCTTCGTAAAGATGACTCTTCAAAACATGATAACAAGTATACTTTTCTTCGTTTACTCTTCGAACATAATATTTTTTTATGCAACACATATCACATTCTTTTCTTTTTTTACAGGGGAAAGAAGTTGAAGACAATATTGAAAGAATTCCTTAAAAAAGAAGAGAACAGAAACAATTTACATTTTTACAAGGAGTATGCATTGATAGAAAAGGAAATGGGAAGATTCGATAGTTGTGTGAATATTTTAGAAACAGCAATTAAGTCTCAATGCCCATGTCCTTCGGCAATATCCGATTCCGACGAGAAGAGAGCACTCTTCGGTTTATACCGAACATTTATCGAAATTTTGCTTGGCACCGATACAGACAAAGAAACACATAGGGTTCGAATATTGAATGTTATTAAACAAATGATTAGTGGAACTAGTGAGAATCAATTGGAACGCGTAAAAATATATTTAGAAGATCACGTGAAAAGCTTCTTGCAAGAAATTCCTGTAGACGATGAAACGGATACCTATTTTTTACCAAATTTAAAATGCGACACGATTGCATGTTACGCGTATCTATTGTATATAGAAAACTTCGATATCGCTAGAGTAATGAATACATTTACAGACTGTATAAATCACTACAAAGACTGCCGTTGTATACAGGTATTACGAAGTATCTTTATGGAAAATTATCATGTATTTTATGTATTACATCTTTTACTTTTGTTCCAGGAAATATTATACGAAAGTCAAATTGCAGTTTTAGAGTTGCATTACAAACGGACACAAGAAGTAAATATCTTAAAAGATACATTACATGAAATGTTAAATTTATATCCAAACAACTTCTCTGCTCTTTCTCTACTGGCATGTCTAGAGGTAAAGATTACTACAATGTAAAAACAAGTATTCTTCCAAGTTTTAAATAGAATATTTTCATTTTGATATTTTCCTAACAGAGTAATTTACCAATCTGGAAATTTAATAGCCAGAAAAAGAAACTTCCATTATGGAGAGCAATCGCTATGTGTTTGGCAAATCGTAAACGTATATATTCCTTAAGAGAACTTAAAGATTTCGTCGGTATGAATGCAGCAATAAATAAATTAATGCATTTTCATCAGACTCTTGCAATGTATGTTTTCATTTCATTTCTCTTTATTTTTTACATTTTATATACAAACATTGAAAATATTCATATTTGCAGGGAACCAACCACCAGATGTTGCCCTTTGCTGTGGAGATTGTACATGCTCCTTCTCAGAGAGTATAATTTATGTGAGAAAAAAGGTGAAGAAGTGTATCATAAGAGTGTAGAACAATGTCCTTGGGCCAGGAGCATATATATCGATGCAGCTGAAGTTGCACCTCAGTTACTTACACAAATTCAGGATGTGATAAGAGAAAAAGAATTAAGAATGCATGTTACTCCAGAAGAGTTGGATATTTTGCGTGGATAATTTCAGTTATTATTTAAAATTATTTAAATGTGTATATAAATGGTACTTCATTTATTGTTTATACTTACATTTTGTACATACGCATATGAATATAAATACAATAAAAATTATCTCTTCTCTATACATAAATACTGCCAGCATATTATCTACTTGTTCTACTGTTTATGAACTTATGGAAGAAAATCGATTAATTATTTTAGCAACGATGATGAATAATGTGTGACAAATTTTTATTAATACTTATATCGAATCAAATGTCATGCTTAGTAGTCGAGTTACGTGTACGAAATTGTGGTTAGAAACGATCGTTTGTGAATACATAGAAAATAAAAATAGATTAATCAATTTTCAAAACAAGTTCCAATATCTCAAGATAAAAATACAATATAATGGATAAAGCACACATTGTTTCCGTTAGAACGTTCAAACTTCGATAGGTCAACATAGGTTAAGTTCATTTTAATTTTCATAACTTTAATATTATGCTGCTTTTCCTAATTACACTTAGAAAGCTTACACTAGTAGCATTATGTTTGATTTTATAATAAATTGCCTAATAGAAGAATAGATTTCGTAAAAGGAAAGTCAATTACTTTTTTCTTTACATGAGCTGCAATTTATTTTTTTCAGCTTACTTTGAAACTTTATGTTAATTTTATTATTCCAATTCTTTTGTGTTTCAGTTCGAAATTCTACATGTAATAAAGAGCTGCGACATAGGGAGGATATAAGAATTATTTGTGACTTTTGTTTACACGATTCCATCATGGATATGAAAGCTGTTGTTGTCTCTGGAGAAGCCCCAGAGTCTGATGATGATAGCGCAAATGTTGCCACTGTACGACATTTTTATATTATTTTATGCCCTTGTTAAATACAAAAATAAAAAGAATTTTACATAAAATATATAATATATTCTATAGGGTATGGAGTTTTCTACCATACTGAATTCTAACTATTGCGGTACTATTATATCTGGTGAAGCTCCTGAATCCGATGATGGTAAGATACTCTTCATAATTCAAGAAAATAAAGAATAATTTGTTTCTAATTTAAGTTTATTTGTGGCAGATCGAACAAGTTTAAGCAGCGTTAGTGGAGCAGTAGATGCTATAGCATGCATGCCTTATACTGAAATTAAAATACCAAAATCAAAAAAATATTCTATTAGATACAACAGTTTACTGCATAAGAAATTACGTAAGTATAAACATTCATAAACAATTATGTATATTGAAGTTTGTTAACATCATTTTATTAATACTATATTAATACAATATACAGAACTATTCCTAGAGTATTATTTAATAATTCTGATACAGGAAAATGTATAGTAACATAATTAAATGAATAATGTAAGTTTCTAATGGATTCAGACCGATTTTATTTTATCTAAAACATCAAATACTTAGAAGCAGTTTAAATCTTGAATATTTTATGCATATTATTTAAACAGTCTATAACATTTAATTTTCTAAAGAAACAGCGTTTAATATCTCAATTGACAAGTTTTATAATAAAACAGATGAATGCAACGAAACATTGGACAAAGATCTTGTGCAAATGATCGAAGGTACAATCGGCACTGCCGCGCAAGAGCTATCATGTGTTAATCGACAACTCTTAAAAAGTGAACTTATTCTTCAAGAAGCTGTTTGTCAGTTACGCAGTGCCTGCATTCGAACGAAAGATGCTTCAAACGCCTTACATCAGGTCATAGATGTCAACTTCCTACAATCTGTTAAAACTTAATTTTTACAAATATACAAAGTACTTAGTGTTTAATAATAAACGTAAGGTAACGATAGTGGTAACGATAATAATGTTAACAATAATAACAATAACAAAAATAATAGTAATATGATATTAGTAACAATATGTTAAATTGTTAAATATTAGCGTATGTAAAGAAAAAAGAACATAATAATAAATATACTACTCTTATAGGATTTGGTGGGGAGGATATATTATTATATTGAGCATTATAGTAGTTCTCCTTCATTGGCAGTTCTATTAAATGTATATTATTTGTTTCCTAGCGCATCTTAAAATTTAATTCAAATATTACTTTTCCCGATGTATCGTAAAGAAAGACCGTTAGATACGACGTAAAGAACAAATTTCAAATGTATTAACGCATTTGCATGCTGATCGTTGCATTTTAAATATCCAAATGACAATAAATGTGAACATTATTTCATAATATACGGATATTAAGGTATATATCAAAGAATGTCACGATATTTTGATAAGAATGTTTCTGTAAAGAGTAAACATAAGCATTAAACTTCCTGTTTGGAAAATTCATAATAATTATATCATCTCATAGACTTTAAATGGTAGGTTAATATTTTATAATATTAAGAAGTTATCTTTCTGTTAGAATAAGTACAGATATAATGACATAATTTTTACTTTAATACACAGCTTACTTTGCATATGCATATGCATAATCTTTCCAGAAACACCTGCACAAGTTTTCTCCTTTTCTTGCAATTTCTCTTTTTATAAAATGTATAA